TAGCTATACAGCTAGGCTAGAGGATGGAACTGTGTTTGAAAGAAAAGGAATTGATGATAGGCAGCCTTTGCAATTTATAACAGATGAAGGTTAGTTTAACTCTGATATGGTGTGATCTCTTTGTTATGGTATATCATTTACTGTTTCTGAGAATCGCTAATAGAAGAATATTGCATTTTCCGTATCTAGAGCAAGTGATCGCTGGTTTAGACCGAGCTGTGGCAACAATGAAGAAGGGGGAACATGCAATATTAACAGTAAAGCCAGAATACGGCTTTGGAAACATTGAAACAAAGAGGGATCTTGCTATTGTACCCCCATCATCAAGCTTAGTCTATGAAGTTGAAATGTTAGATTTTATTAAGGTAGTCAGTTAAGTGATTGTATTGTAGAGCTACAGTTGAGATACTACTTTCTGTTGTCAATATAATAAGACATGATAAACCACAGATGGCTATTTGTTAAGCTGCATCCCTTCTCCCCAAAGTCTCCTTTTACTGTCTGGTTTAGGATTGTTGACTTAATACTTTCTGTTGTCTAACAAATAGGAGAAAACACCATGGGAGATGAATAATCAGGAGAAAATTAAGGCTGCTGAGAGAAAGAAAGAAGAAGGAAATCTGCTATTTAAAAGTGGGAAGTATCTAAGAGCTGGAAAAAAGTATGATAAGGTAGCTCAGCACTTGATTTCTCCCATATTTCATTGCTTATGGTCAGATCTAGAGATTTTGATTTATTTTTAACTGCATGTCCCATCCCATCAGGCTGCAAGTTATGTTGGTGAAGAGGAAGTTTTTGGGGATGATGAGCAAAAGCTGGTTACAGCAATGAGAGTAACTTGCTGGCTAAACAAGGCAGCATGTAGCCTCAAACTTAATGATTTTCAGGGAGCAATCAAGTTATGTTCAAAGGTAAGATGCATCAACGAAAGTAGTTGCCAAATGCTGTCAAATTTGAAAAATCATATTACTTGAAAAATCGTTTTTCAGTGAGAGATTATATTTGGAAGGAGGAAAATTGATGATAAAATAATAGACATAAGAATTAAGTGTGAGGTATGGGATCTCTAAAGTTAATTCTGAGATATAAAAGTTATTTACTGGGTTGGAAAAATGTATGCTCGAGTTTGTCATTCCAGTCCCGTATGCTTTTACAAGTGAGTAGAAATTTGATGGCGGTTTTTCAGTTGGCACCCCTGAGAAATGGGTTCTAATTGCTATGCAGAATTTTCACAATTTCATTGAAAGGGGCAATGGCTAGATGCTATAAATGTCCTTTGCTCTTGATGAAATGATGACTCTAGGCTGTTCAGTGCTCAGTAAAAATGATCTCCGCATTTTAACTGGTTATGGGTTGAAGAATGAAGCTTCTATTTAAAATGGATAGAGAGGAGCAAATTCTCTCGGCCTTCAGCATTGTAGAAGGCTAGATAGGGATGATACAAGACAAGATGACATGTTGTATTCTGTGTTTTGATCATAGGTACTGGATATTGAGTTCTACAACATAAAAGCCCTTTACAGGCGGGCACAAGCACTGATCCAAACTACAGATTTGGTCTCAGCTGACATGGACATTAAGAAAGCTCTTGAAGTTGATCCTCAAAACAGGTACTAGAGGACATAGCACTTTCTTATACGTTTATAGCTAAGATTTTCTCATGCGTGTTCCTTGTCTTTTTCAGGGAGATGAAGTTAATTCAGAAGACATTGAAACAACTTCAAGCAGAAAGTAACAAGAGAGATGCAAAGCTCTATTCCAACATGTTTGCGGATATGACAAGGCAAACATCTGCCATAACCAAGGTAAAAAAGACACTAACCATGTCAAACACGCCTTAAATTTTAAAGCTGAAACGTTTGAGGTGCTTTTCCAGCATTCGGAGGAAGTGCTGTGAAATGGTGTCAAATGCTATTATTTTATGATTGCATTATTTTTCCAACTTTCATGGAAATGTAAAATATTCTGACAGAAATTGAAAGTCGAGAGAGCAGATGATGACATGAAAAATGGAGAGGCTGTGGCAATGGAAATGGAAATGGAAAATGTTGCTGATAGTTCATATCCACCTGACAATGGAAAGGCTGTTGATTCCTGTCAGCATCTTTGTTAAAGAAAACTTATGTATATAATAACCTAACAAGCAAGAGGGAAAATGCACGCACAGATGCAATAGAATTATTGTCCACTGTGAGATAACAAACAAATCTCCTTCGCTGCTCATCTTTGCATTATAATATTAACCGTACAGGGAATGCAACATTTGGAGACCAATGAGGGATTATTTTTTCCAGTTTCCTTTCGTGCTCTCTGTTTTCTTTTCCTTCTATTTTTGTTCCCGTTCTTCGTACCATGTTTTAGATTCGAAAATGATAATGTACTGGAAGACATGATTTGAAGTTTCAAATTAGTGGCTCAGAAGGTTGACTTTGTTAGATGGTTGGAGGTTTGATTAGTTGGATGCTTTTCCTTGCTTCTTCGGTAGGACGTTGTATTTGAGTGTTTGTGTTTTAAAAAAAAAATTAAATTGATGTTTTCTTTGTGTGTTTGATTTATGATTTTAATATATTGAAATAAAAGAAATTATTTTTTCTTTAAAATATTTTGATTTATTTTTTAAAATATTTTTAAAAAGTAATATACAGCAAGATACTAAAAACACACTAGTTCAGTTATTGCAGTCCTGACATTTGAGATGTGTATGGTATTTAAAGAAAAGTACATTTTAGAAAAATAAAAAGATATGAATAGTTAAAAATTAGAAAAACTCTTAGTTTTATCTCTCTCTCTCTCTCTCTCTGAAACAACCATAAATTTATTTCCGCTTTCTGTTTCAAATCAATTAACCTAACCTCATCTTTTCTTCAATTTCTAAACAATTTTATTTCTTTATTTTTGTTATTATATATATATATTATATTTTTTTTTAAAGCTCAATCACCAACCATGATTTGGCTTTTAAAATCACAAATCACCAAAGATCGACAGTCTGAAATCAACACCCAAAATTCCGCATGAACCTTTTATCTCATCCTCACCGCCATCCACAAACCATTATCATCAAGGGAGGAGGAGAGGCTGAAGTGATTGTCTGGGGTTAAGGGAAAAGCAAGAAGAAGGGATGAACAAGCATGCCATTGATTCACCGAAGACAACGCTTGGGATGAAAGCAAATGTTTTGACGAGGGAACCTCAGATTTAGAAATCACAGGAGGATAATCAAGTGTTCATGAGAGTAGAAGATAAAATGAGGATTTTTTTTTTTGAAAAATAGTACTTTCCAATTTTTTTTTTGGAAAATAGTGTAGTTAGAAAAATGTTTTGACGAGGAACCACAAAAATTGATAAAACTATGCTTATGATCTATCTCTTCTCTTTGAGTTTATGTACTGTTTGAGATTATATAACAGTATGATTTAAAGTATTTTTTATTTAAAAATATATTAAAATAATATTTTTTATTTTTAATATCAATACATTAATAATTTAAAAATATAAAAAATTTACAAAAAAAAATCAAAATTTTAAAAACACATGTGTATCACATTTCCAAATGGGTACTCTATCGTTCTCTCTTCTCAACTTTTCTTACTACTTTCCCTCTCTCCCTCAACGTCTAGTGATTGAAATATGACAATAATTAAATTTAAAACTAAAATACAATAATTTAAAAGAATAAGAATGAAAAAAATAAATTAAACTCCAGTAGTTGAATGGAATTTTTGCTGGCGCTAATTATGAAAATGGACTTATTTTTTTCTATATTAATCTTCATCATCAATATCTTTATTTGATTTTTAAAGGAAGCTAAAATTGCATTTTATAAAATCAGTCGCTAATTTAACATTGAAATATTTAAATACACATAAAAAAAGAAAAAGCAAGAGAAGAAAGGGCAAAACAAATTTGAACTTGTAAAACAAAGAAAACACAACTTTAAAGGATGTCATTTAAAAAAAAAAAAGCATAAGTGATCAAATTGAAAAACATGCAAACTTCAAGGACCAAAAAAGCTTTGTGAATGAAAATTTTAATTTTTACGAGAGCGTGAACAGTAGATTTCAAATAATAAAATTGCATTTTTTTTTATAATATAATATATAATGATCTTCTTCCGGCTTCGTAAGTAAGATGGCAGATGGGGCACCGCTCTGTGGTGAGAATTCGTCGACAGAGTTTGAATTCTGTTTTGCTGCCACGTCACCTTCAAGGTTCATCGGATTTGTGATCTCTCTCTAGGATCTTGTCTTGGAATGGGTTTGTACTCTAATTTGAAACTTGGCCTCTAATGGGCCAGGTAAATCTGTTTTTACCTTTTATTTATTTATTTATTTATTTTATAAATTAAATACGTATATGTGTAGGCAAAATTGAATGTCTCGAACTCACACTTCGTTTAATGGTGAGATGGTTGTTTTCCCCTTACAAATTGCTTTAAATATTACCACCGTATACTTAAAAAAAAAAGTTTTCACATGATTTATCTATCGAATTTTATTAATCCATAAAAATATAATAAATGTGAGATGTAATGAAAAAATATAAAGTCAAATTCTCTTGAAAAAAACTAAAACAATTTGAATCAATAAAAACATAAAATTGTGAAAAATACAATGTGAGATTCCCTTAAAATCCAGTCAGTGAAAAAATACACATGTTTTATTTAATTTAATTTAATAAAAAAATAAGAAGAAAAATACCAACTTGCTAAATAAACTAATTTTTACACTGAAAAAAAAAATAATGTCAAAACAAAATCTATAGGCATGTATGCTTTGTTCTATTCTTTTACCTTCTTTGTTGCATTTTGATTTGTTTTCAAAATGAAATTTTGCACATAAATATTTGAAATGAATTAAGTGTAGGTGTGAGAAAAAAATAAAAAAATCAATTAAATTAAGAAAACTAAAAAAAATAAATCGAGAAAAAAATTATTGGATTGGAAAATCCTAAAAAAAATTGTGGATTGGTTCTACTATGAAAAGTTAACGAGTATAGATGAAAACCTTAAGACTAGGCCTCTCCCTGGTCCTCACAAACCCGCCCCCTCTCTCCCAAATCACAATTTTCTCGTCTCCTTTCTCACTTCCCTTTCGTTCTTTCTTGATCACCAATCCTCCACCTAAAATCCAACAAAACCATACATAGCTAGCAACCTCTCTCCGTCGTTCAAATCACTACTCTCTCATTCTCTCTCGATCTCCTCCTTCCATCACCAAATCCCTCACACGAAAAACCTTTCTCTCCATCCTCTACCACCACAGACACGGTAATAGCCTCCTCCTCCACATCATAGGAGCGGCCTGCAACCCATTCCAATGAAACCCACACCAAGCACCCAGAACGAAACCCAACGACGCCCTCAATCTTTCTAGAGGTAAATCAAATTTATCTCTTTCTGTTGTTTTTTATTTATTGCTTTAGATTTATTTATTTTTTCATGATTTTTCTTCTCTGTTAGTTTCTTACTCTTAAGCCATGATTTTACTTTGTCGGGTTGGTTTTGCTATTAATACTGATATTTTTATTTAAATAGGATTTATTGCCATGATGAAGAAATGGCAGTTACTTTTGTGCTTGTGACTCGTCGATAGAAAATATAAACCCATGCGCAAATGTAGGAATTAGTGTAGATATAAATCTACCAGTAATAGAAACTTGAAATCAGTAAGTGATATAAATAATAAAGAATATGATGTGAAACGGTGAGTATGGTTTCATGATTAAATATAAAAGTATAAAGGTTCCTACATGAATTATAATTATAATTTAAAATTTATCACAAAATTGGTAATGAGTTTCAATAAATAAAAAATTTAGAGAAATTTAAAATAAACATGTTTTGAGAATAAGAAAGCAATTTTAAGGAATTATAATGGAAATAAGAAATAATAGTTAAGAAAGAATTAGATGAAAAAGTATTGGTGTACCAATGTTAAATATGCTGTAACAGCAGCCAATTTTTTTTTTTTAAATCACTATAGAAAAATAAAAATTTTAAAAAATAATTTTTATATATAAAATTAATTTTAAATTAGCATCAATCACAATTAAAACATGTAAATAGTATTTAATGATGACTCTAATATTACTATTAGCTTTTTAAATGTATACACATAATGAAAACAATAAAAAAAATTATTTGAGAGTTCTTGAGATTATGTTAGATAAATCTAAAGTTATTTAAAAATTTAATATTTTTTTATTTTAAATAATATTTTAAAGGTTAGATTGTTATAAATCATAAGTTACTAAATTATCTAGCTTCTAACAATAATTCACACGAACCTTTAACGAAAAATCTTCAAAATTTCTATTTAGAAAAAAAAGAATTGTTGGGCCAAAATTTTTAGCTCTTTGTTTTGTGATTTATATAATTTTTTTGTTTAATAAACAATAATATAAAAATAAAAGACATAATTTATTATTTATAGAAAAATATAATTTTTTTTATAAATTATTAAAATATCAATTTACATTTTGAATAACATCCATATTTTTCTTGAAACTAACTCAAAAAACTCTTTACTTAGCATTTTATATATCTAGAAATATAATATATGTTTTTCATTAACTAATATTTTAAAAGGTGCATGAAAAGTAATGTAATTTTCTTAATATTACATTTTTTTTCATTTTTTTATTTGTTTTTTTGTTTGTTTATTTTTTTGTGTTTTGTTTTGCATGTTTTTTTTCTTTTTTTTCCAAGATTGTTTTTTTTTTTAATATTTTTTTAAAATTATTTTTGTTAATTTTTTTTAATATTGAACTGGTTATAAATTTAATTCTATAGTTTTTTTTTTAAAAAAATATTATGAATTATTATAATTTTTCTCTATATAATTTTTTTATAATTTTTTTAAATGGTCTTTATTGATTTTTTTTTCATATCGAGTTGGCTGAGAATTTTGATTTATAGTTTTTTTTATTCAAACACTGTGGATTATTACAATATTTTTCTACCTGGTTTTTGTTTTGCTATAGTGTTTTCTCACATGTTTTTTTTACAATTATTTTTGTTAATTTTTTTTTAAAGATTAAACTAGTTGAGAATTCATCTTTAACGTTCCCTACATCTTTTTTTTTTAGAATAGTTTTTGCTAATTTTATTTTATTTAATATTGAGCTGTTTTAAAATTTAATTTTGTAGTTTTTTCTTTAAAATACTATGGATTGCTACAATGTTTCTCTATATGATTTTTGTATGATTTTTTAATTTTTTTTCTAGAATTGTTTATGTCAATTGTTTTTCTTGATATTGAGTTGATTGAGAATTTAGCTTCGTAGTTGTTTTTTTAAACACTGTCGATTGCTACTATATTTTTTCACATGGTTTTTTGTTATAATTTTTTTTAAATTGTCTTTATTGATTTTATTATTTTTAATATTGAGTTGATTGAGAATTACAACTGTATATTTTTTTATGAAACACTATAGATTATAGATTGCTACAGTGTTTTCTGGATGATTTTTTTTCTTTTTATTTTTGTTGATTTTATTTTTTTCATATTGAGTTAATTAAGAATTTAGCTTCATGGGTTTTTTTTTTTAAACACCGTGAATTGCTATAATATTCCTCCACATAGTTTTTTTTATTATGGTTTTTTTAAAAAATTTTAAATTTTTTTATGTATTAAGTTGGTTAAAAATTTAGTTTGGTAATTTTTTCTCTAAAAATATTATGAATTATAATAAATTTTTTTTATTTTTTTTATAAACTTAAATAATGTATAAACATGCTGCAAATCCATAACATCGTGAGGGATTACATCTAGTATGTTTTTCAATTATGTTTCTATTGAAAGGAAACATCTTAATATAACTACCGTGATTATAGATCAGGTTTTGTTAAGTATCTATTGAAACTAATAATTTGTTATCAGAACTCCAATAACATTATCACCGCAACAATCATTACATCATTACATGATAGCAAAATTCATCGGTACCATCACTGTTATAATCTTCAATAATATTTTAATAATTTTAATAGCATCTCCACAATTATATTATTGCGAATGAAAAATAACTTCACAAAAAAAAAAAAAAATCATAAACCAAACGCATCCTAAATTAGTTAGTTAACTTGCAACTTGCAAATTCTCTGGGACATGGTTGGGAAGAAACTATGGGACCGCCGATGTTCGTCATCATTTCTTGGGTATGGATTCGGATTTAATCCATTTGATATCCAAAGATGCAAATACTCTCATTAAGTAAATATTATCACACTCCAAAAGCCCAAACGCCTTCAGCACTGAAATCAAATATTCCCAAACTAAGCTCCATAACAGTCCAACCATTACCCAAGAACAACAGAAAGAATTAAACCAAATTAACCACGAGGGAGGGCTCTTTACTCAACTCTCCCAATGGTGAATCCCTCTCAAAAAATCAGAAGGCAGCCTCTCTCTTTTTTTCTTAATGAATTTCAATTAATTAACCCTTCCTTCACATGGTTTGTCTCCATCAATCCTTCCCATGATACCCATTACAACACCGCAACTCCTTGGCAAAAACATTTTGGATCCCACCATCATCGATGATTGCTGCTGCCTCAATTGCTGCATGAACATCTCAATTTCATTTCTTTGACCTAAGCTCCTGGCAGAAGCAGCTCTAACAAGCTTTCTGTAATCGTCATTGTCGTTACAACTTGACGAGCCAATACTGAAACTCCAGGGCAACGGAGGGTATTGTCCTGTTGGCAAGGCCATGGAGTGGCCATAACCCATCCTCGTCGAGCAGTCTATTATGCTTTTAACATAAACGTCCCTTGCTTTACACAAAAGTCTTACTGGGATTGCAACGACTCGCATGAACTTGCTTTGGTTGTGTGCTTTTGTCTTCATGCTGGATTCTAGCTGGCTAGCTAACAAAAGAGGGTTTTGGAAAGTGATCAAGAGTGAATTGAAATGGGATTATTTGAAAATAAGAAATTCGATACTCATGCTGAGAGACAGAAAGAAGGATATGAGGTGATGGGGTTAGGTTTGTGGGTTATAAGTAGAGGAGAAAATGACGCCGATGAGGTTATAGGTATGAACTAAAACAAGGCAGGCGTTGGATCGTCTTTTTTTAGTTTTTCAACTAGCACACAGGGTTAGAAAACCTTGTAAAAACGATGGGGAGAGCATTGGTGCTGAATAAATAAAGCTTATTATTATTATTATTATTATTATAAAAAGGAATGTCAAATAGCTGGATTTACTTCCAAAGCCGGAAACTGAATTACTGAAGAAACCGAAGTGGCTAGTTACGGGGCGGTGCCCTACCACTTGCATAGATTATTGTAATGAAATTTTGCAAGCCCAATTGTTTTGAGTCGGATCCAGAGAGGAGCCTATGGATTTAAGAAGGAAAAGTAACGACTTGTCAGTTTACCTAAATCTGCAGGCGCCCATAGTGAACCCTCTATATAAAACATTGGCTTTAGCCGCTCTAATAAGTCAATGACAATCTTTTTAGAATGCTTAGTGCTTGCGCTATGTTGGCCTTTACTGTGCTGCAAATCGAATCAAGTTGTTATTTTTTGGATTGTCTTTTACGTCACTGCTTTATTATCTTGAAATGCTATGTAAATTATGCCAAAAAATGCTTCATTCTGCATCAAAAGAATTCAAGTCTCTGAGTTGAAGTGCCTATGTTCAAAATTGTTCTGGAATGGTGTTTATTTTTGTTCCAGTAGAAGTTTCTTTTCCATGTTTTTGACATTTACATACTAATAATAAGTCCATTTCCTGGTACAACCGTATAGCTTGGCCAAGCAACTCTGATATCTGTATTCTTATTTTTTTTTCTTGGAGGCCGATGCTTTCATATGCCAACATGAACAATCTTATGGCAGTGATATCACTTTATTATAGTTCATCGCATGCAACAGACATTTTAAAAAAGTTTCGAATGTAACTTGTGTACAATAATATGTTTTGAAGCATTTAAACGGCAGTGTATTAAATGTATGTTCACCTAATTGCTACTTGTATATAGTATCACTATCTTACTAATTAGAAATGATGCTAGGTTATAGAATTATCAAAACAATCTTTTACCTTCTTTATGTGGAAATATTCCTGACAAATGTCCTTGTAAGATGGATTTTTGGATGCTCTTAGTGGAGAACAAGGATTTATGAAACAACACAATACTAATGGTAACACATGGCAAAACTAATGATTTATGACATCCTTTGTATGATTGGTGCACTCTGTTGTCACTGTGGTCTGAACTTGCAGTTACAGGGTGTCATCAATTCTAACTAAATAATTAGTTGAAACATTTTTATGAATTTAAATTATTTAAATTATGTATGAATTTTTATTTGAATTATGTATTTTAAGGTATATAAACTTTTTTATTGTTTATTTTAATTTTTTTATATTGTTAATTAATACTTTACTAGAGTTGTCAATATATAATTAATTAAAATATTTTATTTATAATTTTACAATTTAAATTTACAATACAAATTTATATTATATATTTCGTGTAATGTTAAAAAAGTGTTTTTTTTTTAATAACAGTGGCCTTTTATTAGCAGTGTTCGAATTCTAGGCTGCTGTCGTATCTATCCTGCAACCTCCTCTACTTTACATAGCGGTCTCCTCCTTTTGCTTTTGCTGCTTCCATAAAAAACAATACAAACAACAACATGAGCTCTTCTTTTTCTCATTCCAATAGAGGGTGCGTTTCTTATTCTTCTCACCTGATATAATTTCCCCTTTTCACTTGGTTTTGTTTGATTTTTTCCGGAAATACTATATATATCTATGTACCGCTTCTTTTCTTGGAGGAGGACCGAATCATATTTTGTTTCGTTTATAGGTTCCAGAGTTCCATATGATATGTGGGCTTTTATGAGCAGTGTTCGAATTCTAGGCTGTTGTCGTATCTATCCTGCAACCTCCTCTACTTTCCATAAGCGGTCTCCTCCTTTTGCTTTTGCTGCTTCCATAAAAAACAATACAAACAACAACATGAGCTCTTCTTTTTCTCATTCCAATAGAGGGTACGTTTCTTATTCTTCTCACCTGATATACTTTCCCCTTTTCACTTGGTTTTGTTTGATTTTTTTCTGAAATACAAAATTGGGCATTGATGGCAGAGGAAGAGGTTTGGAGATGCAAAACGATAGAGAAGGGTCTAGAGGCCGAGGCCGCGGCAGAGGGGGATCTAGTAAGGATAAAATTGATGCACTTGGCAGATTACTGTAAGCACAACCTTGAACATTACACTTTTTTTTGTCGTTTTGTTTTGAATTTTTGTTGAGATTATTAATTTTTAGTGGAAGCATATTATGAATGATGTGAAACAATTTTGTTGATTTTGTGTCTAATTTGTCACGTAATAATATAAAAGATATCTAGGTGTTGACTTAAGTTTTTGGGCTTATATTGTTTTTTGACATATTATTAGTGACTTGTTAGCCAACCGGTAACGGCTTTGAATCGCATTATTCCATTATAACTAATAAATTTAAGTACAAATTAGTGTTAACTTGTACAAGTTTCAAGTGTAAAAAAGATATGTTAGAGAATAATATAAATTATATCTTGAGATTTTTTTAACTAAGTTAAAATGATTTTTTTTTACATGATTGAACATTTTCAGGACACGGATTTTGCGTCACAAGGCTTCAGAGCTGAATTTGAATATGCGGAGTGATGGGTTTGTCAAAGTTGAGGACTTACTAAAGCTCAATATGAAAACATTTGCTAATGTTCCGTTAAGATCACATACTGATGATGATGTTAAAGAGGTTGGTTCAGTAAATACTTTTCTTTATATACATTTGCACTATTTGAGTGAGCATTGATTTCTCTAGGAAAACAATGTGGGGTGAGGGAGAATATAGCTCGTGTTATGCGTATGGCATCATTTGTTTCCTGCATTGATAGAAAACAAACTTTGCTTTCTCTAGGAAAACAATGTGGGGTGAGGGAGAATATAGCTCGTGTTATGCGTATGGCATCATTTGTTTCCTGCATTGATAGAAAACAAACTTTGATTTCTCTAGGAAAACAATGTGGGGTGAGGGAGAATATAGCTCGTGTTATGCGTATGGCATCATTTGTTTCCTGCATTGATAGAAAACAAACTTTGCTTTCTCTAGGAAAACAATGTGGGGTGAGGGAGAATATAGCTCGTGTTATGCGTATGGCATCATTTGTTTCCTGCATTGATAGAAAACAAACTTACTTTGATGTTTCAAAGACTGTCTGACAGAGATTGATGAATGATTGCCAAGGATGTTTGTAAATTCGTAGGACATGATCTTATAACTTTATTTCCCTTTTTAGACTTGGTTTCTTACCATACTTCTTTTGGAATACAAGTTTTCCAACCATAGAAGTACCATTAAATAGTAAGTTGTGATGTTTGGGGGCATTTTTATTTACTTTCTTACTCCCATAATGTTGATGGCTATTGTATGTCTATGTACAAGGTAAGAACATTTATGATGGATAAAAGATACATGTATTTATATTCTATTTCACCAGATTCTTATCTGGCTGTTAATGAAATATGATTTTTACAATTGCTAAATTTATAACAGAAGGTTTGGCTTCTCTGTAAAACTTACTCAACACCTGGAGTTCATATTATGGAAACTTGTCGTCACCCCGCACAAGGAAGTTCTATACCTTTATTTATTTTTGTTTATGAATAAACTGCCTAGAGATACATCTTTTGTTATTGCTAATTCAGGCTGTTAGAAAAGATAATAAGCAGCGACTTAGCCTCCTGGAAGAAGGTGAGGAGCTTCTGATACGTGCTAACCAAGGCCACTCGATAAAGGTGATAGATATTTGCTGTGAAACAACAATCCATTCATCCCAGTAGGTTATCTCAGTGATTATGAGTAAAACTTGGACATTCAACTGTGTCATAAGAGTGAGATTTTGCAATAATAACAAAATTGGTTCTTATGCTTTTGCTGCCCCAGCATGTTTGATAATTCTTGATATATTTATGTCTTTATTGATTGCTTAGGGCACTAGTAGCAAAGCAAAATAATTAGCTTAACTTATCTGGAAAATATCTGAAAATCAATCTGGATGAAAATTTTAATCTTGTCAAGTTAGCACCTTTGATGTATTTGTAATATTCACTTTAGGATTAAAGAAACAGAAAATGAAAAGATTTTATGTTGTTTATAAAATCTATGTTTGCTTACAAATTTTATGCTTTGTTAACTTTGACATATATGTTCCTCGTACTTGTGACCATCAAACTATCTGTTACAGAACTACACATGTCTCACTATTTTTCTCTGTACCACTTAAATTTATATTAAAACTAGTTTACGTCTCAGTTCTCTGTATACTAGGGTGTTGTGTCATTCATTATGATGTTTTCTCAAAAGAAGGCTGTGCATTAGTTTAGTCTAAACAGTTTTCTTATGCATGTGCAGACAGTTGAATCTGAAAGTCTGTTAAAAGCAATTCTTTCGCCCGAGGAAATTACAGGTAAAAGTTACTACTATGCTATATTTCCATCCTCTCAAATATGACTTTTCTATTTTCCCGCTTTTTTAGGTTATTATTTGGTTTATTACCTCCTTTCCTAATGCAGTGTGTGTACATGGGACCTATAAGAAGAATCTAGACTCAATTTTGGAATCTGGTTTAAAGAGAATGCAAAGATTGCATGTTCACTTCTCCAGTGGTTTGCCAACAGATGTTGAAGTGATTAGTGGTAAGATACACAAGGAAAACATTCATGGCTTCATGTTCTAGAGATATCATGCGATCATTGTCTTTTAAGATTTGAAGGAAGAGTCAAAATGTAGAGTGCATGTTTTTTTTTCCATGGGTTGGGGGGTGGGGGACAATAGAGTCTGCTTATCTGTTTATTAAGAACTCTTCCCAAAATAGCAAGCCTTTACCAAAATTTTGTGGATCTGAATTTTACTCGTCAGCATCTACATGACTAGAAAGAAAAATTGCCCATGGTAACGAATGGCAGGTCACTCAACAGATTTTACTTGAGTGCTCCAATGTTTACAAGAACACCTTTTTGTAGCCCTAATTTGAAAGAAAGCCAATGATGGAAGAAGGGAGGGTGATGGAAGAAGGGAGGGAGTGCTTTAGTTGCTAGCTGGGAGTATCTTTTGTTGGTGCCTTCTGCAATTGGTTCTCAAATCTGAACCTCGATTAGCTCATGTTCAATGAAGCAAGGCTTTCTAATTGATAAATCACTTAGCATACTTTTTAAGATTGTTGATGGCTTTGTATGATATATTTGACTTTTCATCTTTCAGGTATGAGACGGGATGTTAATGTTTTGATATTTCTTGATGTCAGAAAAGCACTTGAAGGTATAAACATCAACACCTTTGATCTCAATCAGATAACAAGTTGGATAAAATATGTTTACATGTTGAGTACAAATTTAGTATAATGGCGAACAAGCATGGGTGATAACTGATTCCTTGTTCTGTGTTTGCAATTATGTTTGATTTCAGAGGGAATGAAGCTTTACATTTCGGACAATAGGGTGATTTTGACTGAAGGTTTTGACGGCACTGTACCTGTCAAGTATTTTGAACGAATAGAATCTTGGCCTGATAGACGGCCTATACCCTTCCAGACGACCTAAATTTGATTGTAGGTGGTCCTCCTTTTGACCTATAAAGATGGTAGTTTACATTTTATAAGGCGTAGTTCTTCAGCTGCCATGGCATGCAAACTTGGCATGTATTCAGCTGACGCTATTGTAAGTTGGTATGTTGTAAGGAAGGTGATGAAAAAAACCAAGCTGAAGCTTTCGCCCTGTTTGGAATTGCCCTTCAAATGTGGTCAGGCAAAATTATAATCTTTCTATTAAAAATTAAATTTTTTAGATCATTTGAATGTGTTAATATAAAAAATAATTCTTTAAAAATTAAAAAAAATATTATTTTAATATATTTTTAAATAAAAAATATTTTAAAAATTAACAACTATAATTTCAAACATTCCTATCATTTCAATGTGAATGTAAGATATCATGTTATGCTTATATTTGCTTGTCGATTGTATGAAACTGTGATGATGAATGATATGCTGATTTTTTTTTTACAAAAACAGGAATTGTAAACCTTCAAACGATGATTTGAATTATCATGTTATATAAATACACAATAAAAATTAAAAAAATAATAATTTTTTAACCAAACTGAACCGGAACTTAATTGCTTAGTTATTTCAGATTGATAATTAGGTTTGAATTGACATTAATTGGGATTCTTCTCAGCCCAAACCAACCTCTAAAAGCCTCTCAATGTGATGGAGAGTAGAAAAGCCAGAACCCAACAATGAAGAACAAGTCACTTTCCTTGCCCCATTGTCTACAGTTAAAAACCCTAATTCCTTCCATTGAATCCAAAATAGATAATGAGGTGGAAGGAAAGATTGGTTAGTGATGAGAGCTTTCTTTAATCTCTTGTATTGTGAGGTGATTATTGAATGATTCCTCCCTTCCCTATTTTTTGTGTTTTTTTTTAATTTAATACTCGCACTTTTTCTTTGTTTCCTTTTCACTTCACTCCTAGAATTGCATCACGACTCTCGCAGAGGAGTCGATCCTTTGTTCCTAGCCATGCTGCTGGTCAACGGACACGCGCAGTCTGCATAGCTAAAGTTTTTAAATTCCAAGGTTACAAAACTAACCTGTAGAAACACTTTGTTATATTTTAAAAATTCAATAATTCATTACATTCACTTAAAAACAATACATCAAAATCTTTATAGCAGCAACATTGACTTGGCTTATATAGAAACAAAAATTCAATATTAACTAGAAAAATAATTAAAATAATAACAATAAAAATAATAAAAAATACCTCCTAGGACATGATCTTTTTAATTTGGAATGGTTATAGTGAGCTATTCCCTTATAAAAGTAAATATGTTGAATCTTTTAATAAAATTTAAATACCATTCAATGATTATATAAAAAAATTATAGCTGTTGTGCTCAAATTCATTGTTTAACCTTTAATGGTTATAATAATTGATCAAATCAAAGTTATACTAATACCCATTTGCAAAACTCAAGTGGAAATAATATTGCCTTAGTCACTAGATTATCAAATTTTGTTACACAAATGATGTCATAAAATATTTTATATGTAAAATGTTTTCTCATAAAATGTTTAGCATGGAGAATATCCCTATAAAATATTTTTTTATGGTGGTGATAAAAAAGAATGAGGTATTGAGATAGTAATGATGGTTGTTATGGTAAAATAATGAAAATAGTGGTGTGATTATGGTGATAAAAGAGAAGATAATAGTGAAGCGAACATTGTGGTATTGATTGTTGAAATAGTTAGATAAATTTATAAGTAAATTACTATTTATAAAATATTTTATAAAATTTCATGAGTTAAAAATATTTTTAATAAATTGATGATATTTGAAGGTTTATTGTAAAATAATTTTCAGTGATCATTTTTCTTATAAAATATTTTATGTAAAATAAAAACAATAATATATTTTTCTATACAATTGAGTGTTTGACATTTGCGATTATAGTTTGAAAATACAAATTCAAAAAAAAAAAAACTATAAATTATAGTTTTTTTCAAACACAATTTCTTACCACAATTTATGAAAAACAAGTTTAAAGAATAAAAATCAAATAACTTTTAAAATTATATCACAACGTAAAACAGATACTAAAACCGAGAGGTTAATAGCTGCTTTGAATGTCTTCATTAATTCATCCAGGTGATTTTGTTTGCCTATCATCTTCCTAGCATTTATTCATCTATGGAATACTTTAGAAAATCGAATACATTTGCTCCAAACATCAAAGTTTATATTCCGTATTATAATTTTGCCTAATGTGTGATGGTTACATCTTTCTAAGAGGCAATTTTATGGTGATGTGGTTGGCATCTGTTTGCGATTGGAGAGCTGGGTCAAATCCTTGTTCCACATGCATGCTTTCAGGTGACAATGCCTCCGAGCAACGTGTCTTCCCGACCAATCCCAGCTTCTGATCTTTCGCCTCCCAAATAGTGTCTCTGCGCATCCCATTCAGGGTGAGAATTCGCAAGACAAGTTGATGTATTCTCTCTCCCTTTGCACTCTATTCTTCACTCGAGATTTTAGTGTGCCTTTGTCTTCCGCTCTTGTTTCCCCTCTTTTTTCCCACATGAGTTTCATTACAATGTTTTGTTTCTTTCCTCTTTTTTTCTTTTAGTTTTGCTCTCTGATTTACAGTCTTTCCTATTGAAGTAAGATCAAGAAACTGTATATATTTTGATTTATGATGAATACCATTTATTAATTCCTTTTCAATCTTTGTGCTGTCTACGTAGACTTTTGTAGACACGAGGCTTCAGGAGCTTGCTCAAGACCTGGGGCATACAAGTCATTACATCCTTACTAACTCGGATATTGCTGTGGTTCATTACCTAGGACACACATGTTTAAAAATCACCCAAACTTTTCACCTGGCTCTTACCTTCCAGAACAACAAGGAGCAACGTTTTAATTCGAAAAGCATTGATCATGTTACTGGGGGTGATTTATTCAAAGTACTGAAGATGAATTCTGTGCTGCATCATGTCGGGGCTATCGGCTGGCTTGCAAATTCTGGTACCATAAATTCTGGTTCTGTAGTATGCCACTGCTATCTAGTTTATTGTTTCCAAAAAATCCATACAACCATGATGACAGAGCTACAAGAAAAAGTTGCATGGCAAGTATTGCATTTAGTGACCGAAATACAAGTGCAGCCCGTAATTGCTCCTTTACCATCCCAGCTATTTTGATGATTTTTTTGCTTCTTGCCTTGTACAGTATCTCTTTGAATTACAAATATTGCAGCGTGCAAGCTACTTCATTATCTGGACACATTTCATGCTTATACAAATAGGGTTTTTTTTTTTTATGATAAGTTCTAGTTGTTTAGTCGATGATCATCAGCAGCACTCTTTTATATTTGAGATTACCTTTCACTTTATTGCTTACTTCCAGGTGCCTTGTAATTTCATTTTCTTTTTGAAAGCTACAGGTTTGGAAGATGTCATATCTGGGGTGTAATTCCATGACTCATAAAAGACCATAAGACTCTCCGTTTTCGTGCAAATGCAATCTGATCACCTTTTTCTGGAGATTCTTGGCTTCCTTAAGGAGAAAATTTATAACAATAGCAAGTTTTTTTATTTTAATCCCTTACTAGATTTTCGACACGCAGGCAATTCTTACACTTCCATTTTGTATAAATTGAAACTGTACTTGTGCAAGGGTTGGCGTGCCCATGAAGTATAGTATAAGATTTACGGTAAACAGAAACAGAAACAATAGAAATCAGCCAGTGATGAGTATTTTATTTGTAGTGTTTAAACCCTAAAGAGTAGGAGTCCTTTTAGCCACAAAGACGAAGTCATGTAGAAAAAGGAGCCGAAGAAGATACGAGAAAATTTAGGGAGAAAACCAAAAGTAAGAACTTTTTATCATATAGAAAAAAAAGGAGCATATAAATAGTGAAATTCTAGTTAGAGTTAAATTTGAATTTTAATAAAAGAATATAAATTAAAGTTAAAGGATAAAACTAAATGACATCCAAGTTGGCTATCCTCCATCTGTCTGATCTATACACAAGCGTAATCTCTACTTGTCTAATCAAGACATTCTCGAGCGGATCACTGAAGACACCGATAAAAATTCTAGTTATGATTCCACCATCACTTCATTTATGTTGAATATGGTGGCTGCCGGGGCAAAGGGATGCACTGTGGAGCAACTGCTAGGGTCTCTACAATCTGAAAACATTTGCTGATCTCAATGCTAATTCTTGGCAAATGGTTGATCTTGCAACAATTACAAGACAATCAAGCTGGCGGCTGGAACCAGTCAGTGGGGAGCAACACCTTCAATCTTAGCCAGTAATAAATTGCGACCAACGGGAACTGTTCTTATCTTGTGGAGATCACCGCTACCCTCAGTTCCACGGTCACAGTTCGGTGATTGCCGCTTCTCTTATCCCCAGCCAATGATGTTCAGTGGGCAACAGGAATCGGCCTCTTATGTTATGTTGGTGATCAACAGTACGTCCAGCGTCAAACAATGATTGACAGCGAGCGGCAAAGATCATAAGCCTTTATTTCGGTGATGAACAGATATCTCACCCTCCACGAGCGATGCCCGTCAGCCTGCGAGATCACCGTTATTCTCAGTCTCAGTCAATGATGATGACCAGCAGGCAGAACGGAGCAGTCGTGTCCTTTGTCAATGGAGTTATGGATGGATCACCGTTACTGGCCCTGTTAAATCTTTATTCCATGAGATAACTAAAGATGTTTATCACACAGAAGCCAAAATAGTGGACATGGTAAGAACCATTATTATTATAGTTCACCGTCATTCCACGAAATTCTTAAACGACATCAATTTTTTTTCATTGAAGAACCATTATTATGCAAGAGTGTCCTTAAGCCTTGATGAAGTTTGTTTAAGGTGATGGTCAAGCAAAGGAAAAAAAAAATATGATCAAAATATTTACTATTGTCCAAATGCAAATTTGTTTTGTCGCCCTTTTTCTCCTGCCCTGTTCCTGTTGTCTTGCTTTCGTGTTTGCTCCGCCTTGGGTTACCGACGGCTTCCGCCCTGATCCTCGTTATTTTGATCTCCCGGTTGGCTTCCGAGGTCTCCTCAGTTTGTTCTTTATGTTATCAAATACAAGAAATTCTGTGCCCTTTATAATCAAGTTCTTTTATCTCCTGTTGCTAGTTTCAGTTCTTTTATTCTAGGTTCCTTCTCTGTTCTGAGAGGCCAGACCAAATACAAAAAATTCTGTGCCCTTTATAATCAAGTTTTCCTCATTTATGTTTTTCAATAATAAACTTTAAATAAAAATAGTTGAAGGATTACATGGCATAAAATACCGGAAAATATGGTTTTATTTATTATTATTATTATATTTTTTAAAAACATGTTTCCGAGTGGGAGAATACCTTAAGGGTATTTATGAAAACCTAAAAAAAACCCAAAACTTATATATAGTTTGTTAAACACGAAACCCTAATAAAAAACACATCACTCTTTTTTTTTGCCTCCTCTGCTTTAACAGCAACATCAGCCGTTCAACCCTAGCAACACTAGCTAAAATCATGGCTTTGGCTGCAATGAAACCTATGAAATTTGGTTTAGAGGAATATCATGATCAAGTTCACCGTGTTAGGATTACTCTTTCTTCAAAGAATGTCAAAAACCTTGAGAAAGGTGTGTTCTTTTTATATCAATTAAGGTTTTATGATGTTTTGTTTATTTTTGTTTGCTTATTCTTATTTTATTTGGGTGAAATTTTTGTTATTTTATGTAGTGTGTGCTGATTTAATCCGTGGTGCTAAGGATAAAAGCTTGAAAGTCAAAGGACCTGTAAGGATACCAACCAAAGTTCTTCGAATTACTACTAGAAAAGCTCCAAGTGGTGAAGGTATTGATTCGAAATTCAGATTTAATTGATTAGTTATGTCCTTTTGTTTTATTGCTCACAAAATTAAATATATTTGTACTGATTTTAATTATTGTATGTTAACTGCCATTTGAATTTTAAAAATAAAATTTGTTTCTTTATATTGGATCGATCATGACAGGATCAATGTGTATATAAATGTTCAATAATTTTATTTATTAATTTTCAGGAACAAACACTTGGGATAAGTTTGAGCTCCGTATTCATAAACGAGTGATTGATCTTTTCAGCTCAACTGATGTAGTGAAACAGATAACTTCCATTACCATTGAACCTGGCGTGGAGGTTGAGGTTACAATTGCAAGCTAAAGGATCTGTTCTTTATTAATGTTTTTCTTATGAATTGCAGAATGAAGTCTAGAAATTCTGGTTCTTGCAATGGTTTTTTTGTTTCTTTTTGGAGCAGTTTTAATTAGCTATATTGGATTTCAATTTCCTATAATTAATTGTTCTCTTCGATGAACTATTTGGTGAATCTTGAAGGCCTTTTGTTTTTTGTTTTTTTCCACATTATGCCATATTTCTGTTGATTTTTATCAGTTTTGTATATCATGATGAATGGGATTTTGACAGAGATTTTAAGGGTGCGTGGATGTATTTATATTTACAGCTAGTCTCCTTCATGACGATCTCTAGATTTAACTGCTCTCAAATTCCTATGGCCGTTTGAACCTTACACTAGGGTCTCCAAAAATGGGTGAAAGCATTTTGCATTCAAACTCCTAGCGGAATTGTTAGCCACGTTAAATCATTTTATGAGAAATATAATTAATTTGGAAATTCGGTTTTCAATTTCAGTTATTAGTATGTATATACAGCCTGTATAATTAATTTGACTCTATATTTACTGCCTCAGTTACCCCAAGTTGTCAAAGACCAAGCCCTTTTCAACTTTTTGCTAGAGCCTACAGAGAAGGGATTGAAAAAAAAGGATTTAACCTCTTACATTTTAGTAATTTTATTTTTCTGCTTTCCTTTTCGAGAAGAGCATTTAGCGATTCAAAGAATACAACGAAATGGAAGCAAAAAGGGTCATGTTCATTTACTGCTTTAGTCAGCATGCAGCATGTATATTCCAGCTCCTCCCTGAATCTGAAAGCAAGAAATTAGTATTTATGGATGATGTTTTTGCAGAAGATGCAATATGCTTCATGAGGAATTTAAATGCGAGTCACGTGCAAGATGTGTCGATGCTTTCTTTGCATCTAGCTGTTAGAATGGAATTGAATGTCCTGGCAGTGTCCAAAGAGTCGAGAGTTATTTCACAATTGGAGTTCGTGCAGTCCAACTTTCGGATGTTAACTTAAGCGAGTCTAGAGTTTGGGCAAGGGGGCTTCCGCTCTGCAGTGAGCGGTGTTCAAGTTTGGGTGACTCTCTTCGACCTCAATTTATGAAGTTGACACTGCTACCTCCATTTCTATTTTATGGCAAGTTGACACTGCCACCTCCATTTCTATTTTATGGCTGGATCACTGCTGCGATTCATCGTTCAGTATGGTCTAGGAATCCAACCATGCCTTGTCCTGAAAAGATTACATTTAATCCCATGGACATTGAGTTGATGATTTCTCTTTGCTGGGATGCCACCAGGGATTTCAGTCTTCTACAATCCCTCAAACCACGTAACAAACGAGGGTGTCATCGAGAAGTAGCTCTTCTAGAATTGGAAGAGAAAAAAAAAAAACAGCTAATTGCAATAGCTTACTGCATGCTGGTTTATCCAAAATGCTCAAATATTTGATGAGAAGAAACTATTAATCATTGAGCAATTTACAGCAGACAGTAAGGATTTATAGATGATGAGATGGGGAGTCAAACTAATCAGCAAAGCATATGCTTCAAACACAACGCAAGTGCATCTATACGCAGACACACACAACCCGGGATACCTTTCTTTGGCATCCAAGAAATTTTCTTGCCTTCCAACTCAAAGAATCATATCCACCAAGCTGAGATCATCCATGCCATTTGGAATAATATTAAATTATATACTTTCCAGAAAGGGAACAAAGGCTCTTCCAGCGCATAAGTTAGGATTATATGAGATGGAATATAATTGCACACAGAGTAATTCTCCAAGTTTAAGTCAAGGAATCAAAACAAGTCCCCTACATGATGAGAAGATATGGACAGAATACAGCAATGGAAATGGAGAGTAAAATTGCCATGCTTTCAAGAAAATACTTCAAAGTCTCAGGGAAAGATCAAAATAAACAATGACGGTTTACCTCCTCCAAATTCATTGCTTAACAACTAACTCTTGCATATTCTGTCTGATGAGTAAAATCAAATTCCAGTGAAGAAACCCGGCAAACATGCATTGAACTAGAAATTACCAAAAATTGCATATCCAGAAATGAAAAAAGGAACAGAAGGTTGGGCCAAGACCACAGTGGCAAAATTTAGTTTCGGAGAGTTGGGAGCTTAATAAATGTAATCAGCTCTGGCAGAAATGTGTCCTTCACATCACATTCATCAACGGAACGTTACAACATCCTGGAATATATCATGTGTGGAGAAGAAAGGATAAAACTCTAGGTCAAATGCAACGCATAACTAATATCTATTGTTCACTCAGAACAGCAAAAACAGAGTGAGGAGCATGGTGGACTTTTGAATCAAGAATATATGCCACAACAGACACAAGCTGGTCTAATAGAAACTAACCATCAAGATCATTCACAACAAGCAAGAGAGAAATAGCTACAGCTGAAATTGTCATGGATATCATTACCACACTGAGCCTTTGTACAAAAAAAACACAACTATACAGTAGTCAAATGAATTCAATTTGTTCAGTAAGAAGAAATAAATGTGAAATTCACGTGTGCTATTTTATGAAATGATACAAGTCCAACAATCAGCATATGCTCTATCGGTCATGAATTCTACAATGCCGAAACTACAACAACTACATATTCCAAAAAATAGGAAACAAAAGAGAAAGATGGTTCTGGCCTTGTTTTGATACAGTGCAGGGAGTGCCCAACGAAACAAAATCCACCGACCAAACAATCTTCAACAGAGGACACGATATTCCTCCTTGTACAGCATCAATCAAACATATATGAAAGACAATTTTCATGTAGTGAACAACACATAAATGTTAAGAAAGCAATTGTAAGTATCATAATGAACAAGGAATGTTTTCCAAAAAAATTCAACTCATCTTGCAACAGCCTTCTTGTCTCCATAGTAACTGAGGTACCACGGTACGAATTTCTTCAACCCTGTCTGCAGATCCGTGGTAGGCTTATATCCAAATTCCTTTTGAGCATAACTAACATTTGCGTGTGTATATGGAACGTCCCCGTTGCGTGGAAACTTCATAACATTCCTTTTAGCCTTAACCTTCAAAAGCCTTTCCAAAATGCTAGCGAGATCAGTAACTGGCACAGGAGATGTATTCCCCAAATTGAAAACCCTCAATGTGCCGGCCCTTTCTTCTTCCCTCCACTCCCGGTACTCTTCTATGCTGTATCCAACGAACCCAAACAGCCCTTCACAATATCATCAATGTAGGTAAAATCCCTAGCAACAGTCCCCTGATTCGCAGCCTCAAAAATCGGAATACTCTTCCCTTTCAAAATATCCTTGGTAGAAAAGAAACATGCCATATCCGGCCTCCCCCACGGTCCATAGACCGTAAAAAATCGCAACCCAGTAAGGGCGTGCAATTTCCTTACCAGCTTTCTTGTAGCAGCGTATAAACTAGCAGGTCGATCAGTTCTTTCTTTCTCAGAGAAAGGCACTTTAGTATTAAGCCCATAAGCAGAACTAGATGATGCCCAACCAATAGCTGGTTGTGGATTGGTCCAGGCCATGGTTAGCTTGGGGCGGGATGGACCGAGATTAGAAATGTGGGAGCGTGCTTTTACGAAATTCGGCAAGTTTTTTATTTATTGGAGGAAAAATCTGGCAAGTTCATGCCAAAATTAGTCGTAGGATCACACACCCCGCAGCGCTGATAAAAATATCAAAAACGCAAACGTACGGCGGCCCAACAGAGAGAGACAAAACATGAAATGGGCCGTGTAGA